CATACTTTCACCACATGCGAAAAGGCTCATGCACCTCCTTCCTCCTGAATAGCTCCAACCACCTCTTGGCTCACGTATCTCCCGTTTGGCACTGTTAAAAGCGCGGCAGGCGCATCGTCTGTGCTCTAGCCATTTGCGGCGAATTTTCTGGGGAAATTTTAAGCAGTTCATGAGCCTTCTGCTGTTGGTAATTACACAGAAACTGATGTAGTGAGCACCTTTAGTGAAATAAGCTTGACCCTTTTCTTCAGCGGACGTTCTACTCCCACCACCACATAGGAGGAATTATCAACTCACGGCTATGTCGATAAAAAACCGACTTGGACGTCTCAGTTCAAAACGAGATACCAAGGAGTCTACGATCTTTTTGGCAGGCGCACGCGCGTGCACACAAACGAGGTTTGCGCCCATGTCACTATTTGCTTTTACGGCATTGGGCTGCGCACGAGACATGTCACATGTCAAAGACATCTACGATATTCTATCAATTCGGCCCTCGATCGCCCATGTGCATGACCGCTATTGGGCTCTATTTCGCACTGGAACATATGATGAGGTAGCAATAATTATAGTGCAAAATCAAAAGATGGAGAAGAAAGAAAAAGCTGATTAAATGACAACCGATCTCTATGATAAACCGCGCGCGACAAACACGATTGCCGCACGTCTCGATCTCGTTAGTAGTGACCGTGTCCTCTGTTCAGGGTAACAGCAGTAGAAGAAGAATAACACAGACTAATCGGATCTTTCAATTTGCTGTGTTTTTTGAACTTGCGCTATTATGTGATGGACTTTTATTCTTATTATCTCAAAAAAGGGACGCGTCCAATAACGATGGGACCGCGACACGCGGCCACCGGACCCGTCGCGCAGCGGACCTCCCCGAAAAGGCTCGAGCCTCACCATTTTGCGATTTTTTTCACGGTGTGGTCCGTGAAATAAACTTTTAGTGTACCCATCATTAGGCGTGAGCAGTGGTGGGTACACTAAACGTTTATTTTTGTTCTGATTTGACACCATGGTAAAGAAAACACATCGCAGACACAGGCCACTGGCTGATAGATGCCTGGTGTGGTGAATACTTGGTACCGTGATAAGGCCTCACTCTTTCCACTCACGATTAGGGCACAACGAACAAAGGGCAAAAGATAAGAGATTTTGATAATATTAAGCGAAGTTATTCACATCATCATACTAAGGCCAGCTGTGGCGGCTGCGAATAAGCGGTTTGGGGAGATTAGGTAGTTGAAAGTAAATGGGCAGAGCTCAAATGATTCATACCACTTGAAAAAAGTCCTGATTTCTCTAGCTTAAGATCACTCATCGGGCACTGTGTCCTCGTGGTTCCCTTTGTGAAACGCCACGTACTTGTCGCCCTTCTGAATCGTAGATGTGATTTAAAGAATGTTTTGACCAGAAAACGCGTTACTGTCAACAGATTCGCAGGCGTGATCCCTCCACAAGTGTTGAAAATCAATCTACTTTAGATACGCTCAAGCAGAAACAAAGGGTGTGCTACACGAGATTAAACGGAGATCCGATAATAATCAGCAAAATGAAGCGACGTATCAGCGATGAAAGGTACCTTCTCGATATCACTTTCAAGAGGAAAACAAAAAAAAGACACAGAAGACGTGCAAAAAATAAACAAGGAATTTACCTGTAACCGATCATCAGTGACGAAATTCATGGTCGCCGTGTCGGATCCCTATAAATGGTTGTTTGAAATATCCGGAATCGATATGCACTTTTACTGTTGACTCACCTGACTGGTTTGCCGCATCCGATCGAATCTAAATCGAGCCGTATTGTCGGATCTTTGAGCATTTCTTGCGGTGGCCGATTCGTCCGACAGGCGTACACGTGCTCCTTCACCCATCGTGTCGCTACTACTGTGTGAGTTGGCGCAGTCACCGCCCGCACACCTCTTGTGGGACTCGACCGTGAGCTGTAGCAGCTCAACGTCTCCCGTCTGTTTGTCGGCCGCGTCTCGATTTCGTGCTGTTTCTCCTACGCGGGTTGACTCAACGGATCATCAAACAAAAACCTCAACCGGAAACGAACAGCACATGGCAAAAGAATGCGCACGACGGCGGCAGCTAGTTTCCGCCGTAGGGGTAACGGAACGTGAGTTCAGTGTTATCACGCGCTTCACAGAAACTTAACGTTAAAAAAAAAGATGTTGCCCATCAAACTATTTTCACTGCAGGTGTACCTGGCCGTGTGCTACAAAAAATATGTGTTGCGCTGGATGAAATTAACTTGGAAAAGTAATGTTTACCTAGTGAGCAAGCGTGACCGAAGATTTCCCCCATGCCCCGTCCCATTTATCAGGTAATACCTATAATACTTGCAAGAAGACTTTGAGGGTGTGCTTCAATACGCGATTCGCAGCGAAGATATGCCATGGCGATTCAGCATGACCTTACCGCGCCGCTATCGGCGCTGCTCGTGCACCCCCTCGCCGTCTGGCTCTGATCGTTTGGCAGAGAGGGAGAGAGCGTTAGCGTTGAAGAGGTCAGCACCAATTAGAGTCAACTAGCGCCGAATCAAAGAGCAAAGAAGGCGTCCTATCTCACGAGTGTGGCCGCTTCGCCAGGCGAACTGCGGCCATAAAACAGCAGTCAACAAACAAAAACAAGTCAAAATTCACTGCTAAAGCTGTCAGCCTCGCGGTCATTGCCGATATCGGCTAACCGGTTGAACACGTTATACGTGTGAGTGCTGACAAACTATGGTTCGCATACCATGAGAAGCTGGGTTGGTATGAAATGTTGCCCCGGTAGCGTAACTGGTAGCGCCCTTGCCCGGAAAGCGAGAGGTGCGAGTTCTAGTCCCGCCTGGGGCGAAAATTTTGTTTAGAACCCAGCATACTTGTGAAACATTCGCAAGGCGAACTGCGGCCAAAAACAGCACTTAACAAACAAAAACAAGGCTTCGCACAATTTTTCTTTCTCCCTGCACCTCTGAGCACCTTTACTTTCATTTCTAATGGGCTACTTTCTTATTGTGAACTCCGCTTTCAATTGCTCGCACACAGCGTGAAGGATGAAAACACTGACTTCCCATAGACTAGCTCCTCAAAGTCACTGTCAGGCTAAATCGCATCCAATTGCTGCTGTGATTCTATCAGGTTGAGTCACATGTAATGTTCGCTTGATATGCCAATGTTCAAAACTTTATAACTTCCCTTTATTAACATCCATGATAGTTTTATGCCTGCAAACCCTGTGATAGTTGCTCAGAATGAAACTTGTTGTGCACGGAAGTATTAGGTCGAGCCATGAGCAATGTCTTCTTCTGAACCGATATCAAAAACTTTTGAATTTCCCTTACACTCGAAGTTATTCAACACTATAATTACCACAGCTACCACAGCTGCCCACAAATGTCCTTCATCTACCCGTTATGGAGCGGACACCTCTTTCCAGAACAGAGCCCGTCCGTTTTGAGAAGCTTGCCATCATCGTAGCGCTATTTGTTCAGAAATTCAGCAGAGGCGCGAACAAAAAGTAATCATTTCCCACGTGACCATGTGAATGTAAGGGCCGTGAAAGAATCAGGAGGCCAACCTTTTGTATGGTTCTGACCTTTCCCCAATTTTTGGTAAGGCGTTGCTTTCTAGTGGAACAGTTTCATCCCAGGAAGCCGCAATGTTGAGATCAAGCAAGCCCACGCAGTGCTGACTTATTTGGCTAACCGTAGGACCAACCGCGCCCTTCTCATGTACTGCTATGCATTGCTAAGGGTGCCGTAATGTCGAGCTATAGAAAATGAGATTCGTCAGAGACTCACTTATGACCTTATTCCGTGCTGTATGTGTGTGTGTTCCAGTTTCACGATAGCTTGAAAGGCTTGAACTATGGCGGTTTTAAGCAGTGGTTAAAGGATCCTACTATATATAATCGGCTAAGCGTGTCTGTTGGTGTGAGTGTTAAACCTCTAATCCTTTCGGGGTTCTAAATAATGGTGAATGTAAATAAATGATAAGCCTTATCTCCTCACTTGTGTGAAGAGGCGTATTTCACGATCATTTTGAGACTGACAGCAATTCTATTCACCGCTAAGTTAGCTGAATTCAAGAAGAATGCTAAGTCACAAGAATGCTGGGTTGTGAAACATTCGCAAGGCGATTGCGGCCAAAAAAAAGCAGCAGTTAACAAACAAAAACAAGAATGCTGAGTGTTTACAGTTGTGAGATAAATATGCCAGTTCAGCTCCAGACGTTATCACGCCTATTCTCAATGGACTTCAGCGAAACTGTTCAATGGTTAGGCGCTTAATGGAGTACCTCATGCTGATATTTCACGAGTATTCCAGTTTCGCTAAAGCCTGCCGTGTGATGCGCGCGAAAGCGGGCGGAACAAAACTGTTAAAAGGACAAAGCATTTGCCGTTGATCAATCCTTTTTGAGATGCGGGACGCATTCTACTTCCATGTGTACATTCGTAGTGGCACTTGAAGACCATATGGACTATAAATGATTTGCGGAGGCCAGCCAATGTACAAGTCAGTGTTTTCATCCCTTTCAGTCAGTGTTTTCATCCCTTTTTTCATTCAATGATTTCGTCTCGTATCTTGGTGAGAATAAAGGCTCCAAAAATGGACATTGCCCTTAGCTCGACATGGTAAAAATGAAGCTAGGATGCGAGGCGCATCCCCCTTGGTAGGAGTCCTTTGTAGCAGCCAAAAGTTTTTCGTTCTCCTTTCCTGCCGAATGAAGTGTAGGTTGATGGAATTATAATTATCTATTCTTTTGAGAAATACTCTTCCCATTATTTGGATGTCAAGTGAACACAGCACTTCCACTCAATGCTAATATTAAAAAAAAACGGTACAGATAGTCGATTATTTCATTATCAGTAATATAAAAAATTGTTATAAGAATAGAAGGTGGACATACGGCCGGCCCTTATGTACAAGCACAATTATATGGATAATCAAAACAATGAGCAATCAGGATTCACTCGTGGATCCTCTCCATCCGTCTGTTATGGCTTCTAGACAGTTGGTGGTGGCCGAATGTTGGCGAACTCGGCTATTTTACCGGGGATGCGCTCCAATTCGTGGACAGTGAGAAAACCATCCTTGTCAGCATCCAAACTGCTTATCACATGAGCGATTTCGGCATCGGAGAGCTGCAATGTGTGATTTCAGTGAAAAAACTCTCGAATCCCTCATCCATCACATAGTATTTCTACCATAGCTCTGAGAAAACTACTGTGGCTCACTGGCACTTGCTTTTTATTGTACCTGTAGCCTTATGAGCCCTCTCATCTTGACCCTTATCGTCGCAACAGTAGAAGACAGTGGAGTCTTCCCCAAAGTCATTTTCACCGACATACACAGTACCTCCCATAACTTTGTTCTAAAAAAAAGCCGCGGAAGACGCGGATCCACGTCTTCGACTTGATTAATTATAACTTGATTACAACTTGATATAACTGTTATATGTTATAACTTGATTAATTTTACTTTTCTTTACGGAAATTTATACCATAGACTCAGTTCGTCGCGATCTATGAGACTACATTTTTATATTTCGAAAAATTCGATTGTTCAATTCCAAAGTGCCTAAGGCTGCTCATTAGAGAGGAGCGCTTGCTATAATTATTACAAGAGTTGAACAGCTTCCATTAGAGCATTTTGCAGACCCCATGCTTCTTTTTTGTTGAAATAGAACGAAAGGGAGACTGATGTGCTCTCTAGGCGATGCCGATCAATTTTATATCTACTTTTCCCTATTTAGGTCAACTTCACTGAAATCCATTTTTGAACGAAGTTGCTTCTTTGAAGCGGAAAATAACAAAAACGGACTGAATTATGACCCGAGATGAATACTAGTATCTCCACCCTACTCAGTTTACTCTGCTGATAGTAAGCTCTTAAAAAATGGGTGTCAAAAAGTCTAAAAGTCTAACAGTATAAACTTCCGTGGAGAAAAGTGAAAAGTAGTCGAGTTATAACAAAAAGAATGAGAATCCGCGTCTCCCGCGGCTTTTTAAACAAAGTTATGGGAAGTTTTAGCGCATGTAATATAGTGTCGTAGATTTCACTTGAACAACGGTATGAATTCCGGTTTTTCTACCCCATAAAAACGTGGGCGTTTTCGGGAACTAGGGGTCTCATAATTTACAAATCTGATTTGCGTTTTGAAAAATATTGACGCTAAACAGAATTGCACTCTTTTAAAAAATTAGTAGTCTGCCTCGGTCTATCCGCGCTGGGTCGAGGGGAAGATTGTGCGCACCAATGCAAACGCAACGCTCCTGCTCAATTCGCTCCCCGGCCGGAAATTTCTGCTTATATCCAAGTTCTGTTTTACAGTGTTTTGCATCTCATCCTTAAATCGCTATTCTCGAGTAGGATACACGTTTATATATCCGCATATACACATAGACACAAACAAATGGTGTGAGGTAAGGGGAGTGGGCATGGTTCGCATCGAGGCCCTCCAGAAGTGGGAGGGAACGTAAAATTTTTGAAAACGGCTTGTCTAACGTGAAGGGTCTATCCTGGTCTGGAGCCCTCTCATCTCATGCTCTGCTCTCCGAGCTCAGTCTCCAATTGTCTAACTCCAGCTGCATTACATAGGTGAGCAAGTCCAAGAGTCTCATGACCTCTAGCATGAGGGCCTTCGTACGATCCACTTCCCTTCTAGACTATTTTTCGAGCTCCAGGGTTATCATGGGTGGATAGAGAATTGAAATGAAACTAGACATAGGGAGGAGTCAAGCCAGTCAGCCAGAGTGAGAATCATTCTCAAAGCTTGAGCCCTACCGCCAATTAGCTTAGCTGAAGTTGGCTGGTGTAGTTAGCTTAAAGTAATCTTTGCAGTAGGCAATGCATTGAGGTATTGGTAAGAGGAATGTTCATTACTCAGACCGTCGCCGTGCCGGCCACTGCTGAAGATCTCTAATACGCTCTCGCGCCCTCGCCGCAGTTGATCTTTTTTATGGCCAGAGGAAGACATGGGAAAAGGGTGGCATCGCGCCAAGGAGACACCCTAGATCCGAGTGGTTCGACCTCGCTGAGAGTAACCCTCACTGAAAGTATCATTAACTTTGTTTGTGAAAGTTTGAGCATATGTAAACTTTTCTTTTATTTAAACCCATTCAGGATGTAGTGGCGAAATGGAAGCTTTTCCGTTAATCTAAAGTGATATGGGGCTTAGGACAAGGGTCAACCCTATGTTAGTACGAGTACCAACGGGGGAGGGTCGTATTTGGCTCAGCTGGTGGAAGGGTCGTACTCGCGGTTCTCGGAAGAGCAAGCAAAGTCCACCTCACAGACCCATACATTAAGGAAGGCTTGCAGAAACAGCAGTAGCAAAATATGTAGCTCCGTTCGAGGAGAGGGCTCGCAACATGACATGTTCTAGCCACGAAACCACAGGTGAAACTGAGATGAAACTGGATATCGCGCTGTAATCATCAATTCTTTTTTTTACAAAACAAACACTTATTTCTCGTTTATTTCGTTCTCATCGTGAACATGTGTCTCAAGCTAGTGATTCATGAGAGAAATAGATTCATGCATCTCCCGCGCAGTATTCCTTTAAGTTGTGAGTTTCATGTTGGTGTTTGTTCGACTTCCAACCCTTTTTTTATTCCACATGAGGACATCTTCATGTAATCTAGAACATTATATAGATGAATATATATATATATATATATATATATATTCGTTTGCGGGCCTCTTTACTGAATTTAAAATGATGACAGTCCGGTGCCAAGTGAGTTGTGGGGAGGGGCAAGCAGCGGCGCCATTTTTCATGATTTAAGCGAATTTCACTTGGTTTGACAGACGCCGCGCCGCCGCGTGGTCTCCCCCCTCCAAACTACTTAGCACCGATAGCTCTAAACCGCAGCCCCCTTTCCTGAAATAGACCCTACAATCCTATTAATATTTATTTCGGGTGTGTTCCAGTAGAGGGGGGGGGGCAGTGCGATACACAGTCTGCTGTAAAAATGCGATACACAGTCTGCTGTAATGCAAAAGCCTGGGTATTCACTCAGATCTTCGGATTACGAGCTCTAACAGCTTTATTCTTACTGTCTTCTTCTTTTATATAATGTAGGAGTCCTTGTGTTTTAGGACATAAGTGCTTATGAAAGTTGCAGTAACCTGGTGATTAGCTAGGTAACTGTTATTTTTTCATAGGCAATTATGGGCAATTTGTTCATAAGACTAAGTCTGGGAAAGGGAGGAAGTCCCCGGAGAAAGTGAAAATGCTCACAAACCCGGGGATTGTCCCTCCCTTCCAGGCTTAGCCCTGAGCCTTCACACTAGGAGCATATGCTAAATTGCTTTCCGATACAATGTTAGATTTTAATAAAAATTCGATGCATTAATAGTCTTGACACAAGTATTTCATATGATGGGAGAGGGTCGTATCAAAGCCCTCATGAAAGGGGGAGGGGAAGTCATGAAAATTTCCGAGAAGTACCAACCTGACCCTAGAACCTGCATGCAAAATCACGGTAGCATTTGGTAGCCGTATGTGCATGCCGGTGGCGAACTAAGCCAAGAAAAATGTAAAGCTCAGGCTCGTTTGTGAGGGGTTTGTAGCAACAGAATGGTCCGGAGACCCGCGCTTGTGATCGCGGCCGCGACGTCGCGACTGTAGTGGACGAGTCGTGCGGCGTTCCTCTAAATTAAAAGGACGCTATACCGACTTCTCCCTTAGACATTTTGGTCAGTGTCATGCCACTTCGTTTTCTATTCCATGCTGTTTGTTTTTATGGTTATGTGCTGCGGCCCAAACAACGCCATAGGTGTTCTTTACAGTATTGCCCACTATCCATTCAGGGAACGTCACTATAGGGAAACTCGCTATTGTACTATTCGAAATTCGCTATTATATCGCTGTGTGCCTCTAAATCTACAGTATTGACAGAATCATAATCAGAAGTCATAATCATAATTCATTTCATACTTCAGACTAATTCAATTTCATCATTTCTAATTTAGATTCATAATCAGAATCAACAAAATCGTCCCATGGTCCACGGCCAAAAGGGTTAATGCGGAGCGCAGCAAATCTGTCGCTCCAATCGAATAGTCTGTTGTTGCCGCGCGCATACACAAGTGCCGCATTACGCGCAAGTAACCCGCGCGACGGCGCCACTCCCGGACGATTCTGTTGCAGGCTCCCCGTTTGTGAGAGGTTCAATCATACGGGCGGTCTAGGGACTACGCTTTCGGCCACTGCACCACATTCGTCAACATGCGCTGTGCCCAACAAGAATGTCGTGCTAAACGTGCTGGCTACACTCACCTTGTTATAGGCCGAGGCGAAATTGCGGATTTCTTGTGCCGATAGTTTCCCATCTCTGTTTTGATCAATATAATTCAACACTTGGTAAGCCATCTCCTTATTAGCCTCTTTCTGGAACCAGTGATTAGCGTTTAGATTAAATGTAAGCTGGAAAACGTGACAGGATCTAGTAAACGGACTCTACTCTTCGGCTTATTGTAGTTAAGTTGAGCTTTAAACTCCTCATAAGACAGTTGCCCATCGTTGTTAACATCAGCAACAGCTAGCACGCCATCAATGACCCTGTAACAATTTCGACATAAGCGAACGTTAGAAGAAAAGCCAACCGCTTCAGAGACTCCAAAACAAAGATTATTCATAAATATCTCCAAATACGGCAACTGGACGCACGGTGGTGTTGATGACATCGTTCGACCACGTGCATAATTTTGAAAAGAAATCGTGGTTCGAACTTGTTTGAATTCGCTTAATCAGGTCTAATTTGCCATGTTTTATGGACGAGATGAGGTAGCGCTGGGTAACGCCACTTCCTCTCGCCAACGGTCACGGGTTCGAATTCCGAATCGTGTTTCGCCCACGTCAAGCAAGCCTTCCATACTTCCGAAGTCGGCTAAATGGTACTAAAATTTGACTATGATTCTGAAAAAAAGTGGAACGCGTGGAGCAGTCTGAAAGTGGTTGATAAGAAGGGTATGGCTTTTTTTCGCTTTTTTTTACGTTCAATACTTACCCAGCACCGTGCTCTTTTCGTGCAATGGCTGCTTCGTTGAGATCGATGGTTCCATCGTGATTAAGATCCATGCGCTATAAATTGAGGCTAGATGCTGGGATTTCGGCTTTCACAAATACTTCTTCTACATTCATATATTTTAGTCATGGTTACACTGCAACATGAATTGCATTTCATCACAACTATTCCACGAAAAGTGAGGAAAGTGGTCGCCCAGTTATACAAAAGCGATTTCCCGCCCACTTTAGTGTATGAATCGCCTGAGGAGCTCACCTTGAAGATCTCTTCAGCAGTGTCAACTGGTTTTCGGCTGATCTCATACGCAAGAGGTACAAACTCGGCCACTTCGAGGGTCTGATCGCGGGACACATCATATTTGTGGAAGATATCTAGAATGGACGGAAGAATAACTACCACATTTTCGTTCGCGTCAAAGACTCTTCACTCTGCCAACCACGGCCCAAATGGAAGTTCGCTTTTCAAAGTTGTTTCAGTTCGAAGTAGGTCTATTGAATTTTGGGGACATCTGATTCACTTAACCCTTGCACATTCCCCTTCTGGAATGGAAAAATGTCGGATATGTTTGCGTGGCACTAAATAAACTTGACAACTGTAAAAATGAAATAACTGAAGACGCATAAAATTCCAGCCACGGCTGATACAATGTCCCTGCAGCTTAACGAATTCAAGACAAGGCCAATTATCGCATCATGTGGTGGACTGGCAGACAGACTAAGTTGGCTTCTAGTTCAGTTTCTCACGCCACTTTTGCGATATGTAGGAGCACAGATTGTTAACGTTGATGAGTTTCTGTCATCTCTTCACCAACGTCCAGTTCCAACGGCTGCCTTCTATGCGACTTTCGACGTAGTATCCTTATATACAAATGTGAACAACGAGGGAGCAATACATGCTGTATTATCACTCCTCAAGGAAAATCGTGGTAACGTGTCGATGATGGGATTTTCCGCTAACGGAATCAAGGAACTCGTTGAAGCAGCGCTCGAATGCAACATTTTTTGCTTCAATAACAAATTTCATAAAAAAGAGGTCTAGCCATGGGCAATCGCATTGCACCGTTGTCATCTTTTTGGACCACATCGAAAAGTCATCTCTATCCACTAGGATTCTATTCTTCGATATATCGATGACGTGTTTCTCATTGGGAGAACGCAAGAAGATCTCGTGGAAACTCTAGAAAGACTGAACTCACACGATGCTAATATAGCCTTTACAAGAGAAGATCCGGGCAGGGATGGTCTTCTACCGTTCCTGAATACAAAAGTGCGAATAAGTAACGGCTACAAAGAGCACCTGTGGTATAGAAAAAGTGCCTTTTCAAATATATTGTTCCATTCGAGAAGCGCTCATCCTACATATGTGAAGGCGAACGTTGTGCGGAATCTTCAGAAAACGAAGGAGAAACTCAGGACGCGAAGAAACCCAGACGTAGATGCCAAAATTAAAAACGTCCTCGAAAGCAATGGGTATCGAGAGGGAAATTTGGGAGCCTGGACACCATGCAAAACGTTGGATGGAATCACCCTCAAGATGCCGTATGTCTACGAAAAAATGGCTCGTGAGGTGAAAGATGCCCAACTTCCGATTCGTCTCCTTTTTCGACCTCCTCAAACACTCAAAGACCTCCTCACATCATCGAGGATATACGAGGATAGGTGCCACGAGGAGTATTGTCGATACTGCACTTCCGAGAAGATCTGCAAACTCCAAGGCACAGTATATCTAGTCCGATGTAGACGATGTGGGGAAAAGTATGTGGGAAGACTGCAAGACCTCTGAAGATACGTCTGGACAATTACAGGAGGGCGCTGAATAATCCCGCCGCCTACCCACGGAGCAGTTTCTCTAGGCACCGTACTCTAAGGCATACGAATGAAAACACTCCGTCTTTTGACGTGAGCGTTCTTCATAAACATATGATGCGGCCCCTGGAGAGAAAGATCATGGAAGCGCGGGAGATATACCGCATCAAGCCAGAAATAAATGCGAAAGAAGAGCTACGTGACATTTTAAGGCTTTTGGCGTGATCAGTGAGCTCCTTTCTTTCAGGACTGGCGTCTCTTCATTCCCGAGCCACCCCGATAGGCCGCCCCTCTTCTCTCTCCTTTCTGGTATGTGTCGATGCAACATGTCCTCTCTTGTAGTTGTAGATTTGTATTTATTGTGATTTTAAGGTTGGTCTGATGATGGCATTATTGCTGAAAGCTCATCAATAAATATAAGGCCAATAGCTTCAAGAACATCTTTTTCGACACAATATCAAATGAGGCTCAGAGATAGCAGTATTTTACCATAACTAAATAAACTGTTACCTATTTTATGTATGGTGAAAATTATGTTGGAAATGGAACCAGTCCGAGCTAGTTGTATTGAACGCGTGCTTCATTTTGTTCCTTCTTTACTGGTATCGGGTTTAAAATTTTTCTCGTTACTTCAGAGATGAAAATATTACTTTTAATCTTAGCATCATTTGTTTCATGCTGCGTCTTCTTATACCACTTCTCGAATTCATTGAAATTGATGGCACCATTGTTGTCCGTATCGACGGCATCGAAGGAGTTCACTGAAAAGAGAAAATGTATCGAAAAACAGCACTGTTCACTACTCATAGTAATTTTGGTTACTCCGCCAAACATGTTCTCTGTTGCTCTTCAGGTAGTCCACTATCCACAGCTATTCACTATGCATTCCGTGCACTGCGAGATTTTACCTAAGCAACTGCGTTGGAATCATGCTGTGACACAAGTTGCCTGCTTGGAATTGCATGGTGATTTTGCACTTAGCATTTGGTACTGTATCTTTCTTCTTTTTCTTCTTGTCCTTAGCATAGTCCCACGCAGTCGCAGGGTCTGCTGTCTTTGTTAGCTGCTACGTTGTTTTGCCCAGGTCAGTTTCTGCATCATGATGACATCACTCCAGCTCCTCATGCTCGCATGCCTTGCATTTCGAAGTCCATTACGTTGATTATCTGGTGATCCCCTTTCCTTCTGCAAGATCAACGTTACCGCGGGCTACATGTGTGCGAGCCCGCCTTATCATTTCGACAACTGAACCACGATGCTGCCGACAAAACGCTGATGGGCTAAGCACAGATGAAGGCTGACCACTTCGTGTCGCATCGCGCGGGAATTTTCGCAAAGTGACTAACGACTTCTCAGATCTCGAGAAGGACAATTAGATATATGTAGAGTGGGTCAAAAACTGAAACATCCTCACCATTTTCTACAGATGTCACCAGTGGCATAAGTGTCTGCTTGGCAGCATTTATAAGTGTTATCGTAACAAAGAACACGAGAAAACGCATACTTTCCTACAATCACAGATTGAAATGATAGAGTACGCGACGATTGTTGAGAATCCACATAAAGCGAATAAATTAAAACAAGGAGGAAAAAGTTGGTGGAGGAGGTGGGTAGCATTTATATATTCCCAGATAATCAGTCTCCTTGGAATTCTCAGATTGTCTGATTCGGGTTGGAGACGGAGCTACATATTTATGCAACTGTACTGTACACCTCAGTCTTGCAGCTAAGTCCTTCTCACATTCGCCATGGGGAGGTTAAAGTGCAAAAGGGAACATAACATGCACCAGCATACAGCTGGTCCGGGCGTTTCTATTCGGGTTCTGAAGAAGCGGTCCTCAAGGGAAGGATACGGCGTGGAGGTTATTTGAAAAAAAAAGGCTCAAAGGCTAGTTCCGCTCACTAGTAGGAGCCAGGCTGCCAGTGAACGTGTTGAGTCCGCAGAGGGTCGTACCAGCTTCATCGGTCAAAACGCGTGTTCAAAAGCATGTGACGAGATCAAAGTGGTGTGGTTCTTGCACACCTTCGTAATCGGCTGTGCTAAGACAAGAAGAGACCAAATGCAAAGTGGAAAGTATGAGATAAGAGAGTGCAACAGAAGTGAGTGCCAGAAAACAACTAAACATGGGTGAAAAGCAACTGCAGCCGCCGCAGCTCAATTTGCGAGACCCTGGTCCTCTTGCCGGGTCTATCCGTGATTTCCTTGATTAGGCTTGCCACATCTGTGATTGTCCTATAGAGGTCTGTCCTACAGGCCGAAGGAAGTAGGACTCAAAAATTCTGCCTTGGGTTTACCTTGAAAATGGATTTCACGATGGGGACCAATGTCGAAGAAGGGGAAACTCAACTCAAATATCGCAACACTGCCCATTGCGACTGGTGTGGAGATTGTAGGCGTGCTCTTTCACGTCTTTTGTCCTCGCTTGTGGCACTGTCTCTCCATCGTACCAATCCTACCTTTCCATAGAGCCCTTGAAGGACGGTTACGGTAAGTCCCGTGGGAACGATAAGGAAAGTTCGTACTGGATTGTGTAGGAGTCATTAACGGTGTATATGGCGCCGGAAACCACTTCCACTATGTAGCACTCTTACGTATCAGACGTGAGACGAGTTACGATGGCACCGTTATTGTGATCGTCCAGTTTTCATTGCAAATGTACCTTATATCAAACAGCTGCATTTTCTCAGCTTATTACAGCATATTGCATCTTCTGTGAGGTAATGCTCGTCCAGCATTCTCTATCTAATTCTTCTCTGCTGCTAACGCGTAGTGTGCCGCTCCACCTCGGAACCAGCATGCCTGCTTCCTCTGATTTCAACATCTTCGACAATTTCTCGAATTTTCGTTCCCACATCCACATTCAGCCGAACATCCATCACTATGAAGCGCTATTTTACACTAGTTTTAGCCCGGATCATGTCTTTGAGTACATCGAGAGGTTATGCAAAAGCTCTTAAGTCAGGGCCGGATCCAGTGCAACACCCGCGCATTTCATAGCAGACTTTTAAACGACAATGGATGAAAACTCAGGTGATAGATTACATCCGACGATTTCCCTAAGAAGAGACGACGTTTCGACGGATACCATTTCCATCGTCCTCCCCACCCTCTCTCTATTCGGAAATTGTGAGGGTTATAGTTGGGTCGTTTTTTGAAGTACGGTCATTAGAGAAAGCAACAAATGGAAGTTTGTATGAAAACGATTCTCCGGATGCGGCATGAGGGCCTGATGGCCTCTACAGTTTGTTACCGCCATGGTTTATCGTTATCCACGGGCACCTAGGCTAGGATTGGCCTATTTATAACGTTCTCATGAAGGCTTATCTGTATTGACTGAGTAGAGTCCATATATTCCTCACGAGGTACTTATCTGTATGTTGCTCTTATAAGAAACCTGAATGTCATATGCTATTTCCAGAATCAGCAAGGCCAGATCGGATCTCCTTGTGTGATGTTTGTCCGTCGCAGTGTAACAGCATCAATTACTATGATCCCTCTACAATTTTTTCTTCTGCGTTAACACAACATTTCTAGTGCCAGGCAATCTCTATTGAATCGTGTAGCGTTTGAAGTCCAGCACCAAATAAAGGTGCACTATATTTCAATTGTTCGGCTAACCCATAATGTCCCTGCCTCACTGATAAAGAGAGCCTCGAGGAAGCGTCGGATCAGGAATTGTGATTCGGAGTACGCTAGGGGGTGCTCATGGGTTTGGAGAAGGCGGGGCAGGGTGGGGAGGGACATTCGAAACATGGCCGATGGTAGGTGATATCAGGACTAAGCTCAGGATAGTGGTGAAACGGGGACAAACATTGCCCATACCCTCCCTCGGAGCTCCTTCCCTCTCCAACGCTTAGTTTCAGGTACTACATATAAGTGGCTGATTAAGTTGCTTAATCCCCTTTCGACATGAGCGTCCACTAATGTTTTTGGTCCACCACAAAAGAACTCTAATACCTCAAGGGGAAAGCTAGTAAAATTATTCTATTTATTTACAAGTTGTAGGCATCCTGCCATTGAGCTAGACACGTGATGTTAGCGAAAATTTCTAAGGGTGTTATTTCTCACTTTCTTCATCCTAATATTATAATTCACCTTAGTGTTATAGTCACGAAAATCCTCTAAGATCAATGTGCAGAAATTTAAATCTAATAAAAAGTCAATAAGCGCTGGTCTATGTGCAGCTGGTAATGTACGCTCACAGTTGCAAAGCGTCGGATTTGTCAAGTTTTGAGAGGGTTCCAGATCACCATGCGTAGACAGAAAGCCAAGCCAGAAGGGAAATGGGAAGTCTGTATGCTCATACTCGCAGTACGGTATGCTCATGCTCACGGTATGCTGTCGTTACAATAAACTAGGCGAATAATCACGCTGATGTTATGATACATGGGTTTTGAGTGAGAATTAGGGCACTAGGCTCTGGATCCATTCATGTTCTCATTTATTGACACAATATTTTGAACTGCTTTATTATGATTTTTTCTTTCTTTTCTTCTTTTCCTTTCTTTCATTTTTTTTTGTAATTTCATTAATTTTTCATTCAGTTGAGATTAGTTACAAAGCCACAGGCTGCACCTCAGCACGAATCTCCCCAATTGGCCAGATTTTCTGGTCTCATTTCGGAGCCGTTTGGTCTCAAAGTAACTTCCTTTCCGACAGCGCCGGGATCGGTGGAGTCTTGCACTGTTTGGGGGCACCCCAACCTTGACTTGTTTTCGGAAGCAGTGTCTCCTCCTCTTAAGCTTGCAAAGCAGAGTTTGGCACTCGTGGTAGAAGTGGTGTCCCTTCGTAAGGCGCTGCTGATGATGTTGACGGTTTCCACTGCTCCTGTGCCGCAACGAAATTCATAGAAGATGATCGCTCGAAAGTGCTCTTGTGGTATGATATCATGATTAACGTTCAAGAAGGCAGCCCGGCCATATGTACCTAATGCGGAGAAGTATGATCGACAGCAATAGTCTATCACGTGGCAGATTCTATGTATCGATCAATAAGCGAATATTCTGGAGCTTTCGAGATCTGCTCAGGACTTTCTTACCATCCCAAGTATATGAGGCCTCAAAACCATTCCAAGTATATGAGGCCTCCAAACGAAAGTAACTCTTGGACTCTCTGGAACCAGCAACAACAACTCCATGAACCTATCACCCTGAGTAGGAAGATACATCCGAAGAAAGACATTATACATGGGAAAAAGAACAGAGCAGGAGCTTGACTTTCAGACAATCAGAAAGGATAGCTAAGTAGTGAGATAAATGTAGCTAGAAGAGAGGTATGGGAAAGTTGCAACGCAACGAGGTACCAAGCACTGAGTTCTGACTATAATCTTTTATAAAAAGTGCAGACGTAACTCCCAAGCCTATCTGAGTGGGTGGAGGAAAGTGACTTGACTTCCGGCACTCATGATGTCTCATCAGTCCAACTTCTTTTGTCAGCACGTGAATGAAAAACGATTTGTGTATTTTGAAAATGTGCCTCGGAGCTTCGGATGGCTCACAATAGAATTATAGGTGAGTGGATGAGCAGTCACGCGCAATAACTCGAAGATCACAGCTCAAGCTCTGTAGTGCCGTATGTAACAGCGTGAACAATCTCCACTTTTAACATTGATTGCCATCAGGAGAGGTTCACTATGGCCCGGAAGAAACACACAAACATTTCAACATGGTCTATCCCCTTTTAGAATGAGCCACATACTCAAGACAATCTCACCGGAGAGTGGCATTTGCATGCGATCTAGCCTGCCCAACGAGGCACGAGAACCTTCGTGGTACGTTGATTTTATACTCCCACAAGTTGTGGTGCCAATTAGGTGACCCTGGAGAGAAGAAGACTTGAATGGCTTCATATAATTCTATCAGAAGTTGACTCTAAGATCATGCAGGTACGCGGGCTGCTTCTCGACAAACGTCTTCTCTTTGTTATGGTGCTACTCTACTACCCCGAAGTGGAGGTTGGGCGTAGGTATCGTGTCCGTTAAAGAAGAATACGGCATTATCCTAGGTGAAAGTAAAGGAGGAATGAGATGCCGTGAAGCTGAACGGAAAGGGAAGTAGTTCAAAAAGACGATGAATGTGCCAATGGAACTGAGCTTCTGAGCTTCCTGTGATGGGACTCCATGTGTGAAGAGATGATTCTGTGCAGCTGGTCGCTACCAGTTGAGCAAGCAAAGGCGAAAGGCAATGATATGTGGAATGTGAGGGCGCACTCGTCGCTAAGAGTGATGGTGGAACGGCAGAAAAAGTGGCGCTGTGAAACAGGATATGAGATCAGGAATCCACACGGAGCTCTCCTCGTCTCGTCATGAAGAAAAACTGTTCTTAGAAATCAGACTAGGAACACATCAAGTGACATAAGAGGTTGGGAGAAGAATCCGTCGTCGTAAACAAGGATTGTAATCATACACTGTTAGCAAAACGAGTGTTTTTGCTTCCATCGTTCAGAACTTCCAACAGAACGACCTCTCTAGAACATTTCAAGTGATGCGGGATAGTTTGCCAA